GTGCACGTTTTTTGACACATAAGTTGCAAATGCTTTTCTTATCTCTATCAGGGTCATACATTACAACCCAGTTAGTTGAGGAAACGCTGTTCTGCCGTTAAAACAATGCTTAATGTCACATCGTTTAAACGATGATATATTGACCAAATTACGCGTTTATCACAAAAAACGATTTTCTACGTCATAAAGTAATATTATGTTCTTGTCGTTTAAACGTCGGATTGTAAATGTCATAAATAGTGATTCGTTGACGTTAAAACCATAATTTTTTATTATTTCATCTGTCGTAAACGATTCTTTACTTGAAAAAAAGGTTTAATATTCAAGAATCATCTTCATCTTACTTGTAACTTGACCATTCATCTAATTTTATTAATTTGATGATGGACAATACATGTTCGTACTTTTTCTCAATATCTCAATATATTCCAATGAGTAGGTCTCATTTTGTTTTCGAAAAAGCATAAATTAAATCTTTAACAAGTTAAAATATTTATTTAAAGAAATGAAAGTTCGGCATCTATATAACAGAAGACATGAGTAGAAGTCTTTTCTACAAACTTTTCTTTTTGTTTTGATATTTTTTCAAAAGGCTTCTACTCATGCCTTATGTTTTAAAGATGCATGAACTTTCATTTCTTTAAATAAATATTTTAACTTGTTGAAAATTTAACTTCTGCTTTTTCGAAAAAAAATAAGACCTACTCATTAGAATGCGTTTAGATATTACAAAAACCTGACTACACTCTTTCTTGGGACACATCAATCGTTTTTTAAAGTTTTTTTTCTATACTCTTCGTAGGCAATTAGAAATTTGTCGATCGCTCAAGGATGATGCGTTTGTCTTACATCTGATAAATATTCTATTGAAATCTTCTCAAGTTTTCGTTATGAATTTTCAAGTCTAGTTTATTCTAATATCTATGGAGAAATATATAATTAGTTACAGAGTTGTGATTTATGATAATCTCGATGCATAATGAAAGAAGAATCTAAATTAGTTTATTAGTATCAGATATGTATGTGATAATGAAACTTAGATTTTTAAGAAGAATTAATGAATTGATACGATAAACGAAAAATTCTAGAGGAAAAATACCATAGATAAAACGATGTCAATTTTTTGGTATATTTTATCAAAAGAAAATATTGAAGAGTAACACTATTGACGTACTTCTAAAATTTATTCTTTGTTGAGGCTATTTTTTTCTCATTCTTTAACAGTCATCTTTGGTAGATAAAAAATAATTTATTGCTACAAAAGTTAATAGAGAAGCTAAGTTTTTTATTTGATTACTGTAATCTTTATGACTTACGCATAATTATCATCTAGTTGTTCTTTTAAGATTTATACTGAAAACGTAATATATACTCAGCATTATATTCTTTTTATGGTATAAGAGTTAAAAAATTAAAGTTTCTTCGCGTAAGAGTTTCAATCGACGACGAACTCAGTAAAATTACAAGCTCTAAAATGAAATCATTAATGAAACTAAGCTATTTAACATTTTTTTCAACTGATTTATTAAGATCAATCAGTGTGACGTTTTGTTCTAACTAAGAACATTATCAAACACAAATAAATAGACAGAAGAAGAATATATATAAGAGTAAAATAATGTCTTCGTTTTTCTATTCTATTGTTTTAAACATTCTAATGCAGAGGGATTAATTTTACTCCCCCCGTGCATTGAAATGCTTAAAACAATAGAATAAAAAACAATGACATTATTTTACTCTTATATATATTCTTCTTCTGTCTATTTATTTGTGTTTGATAATGTTCTTAGTTAGAAAAAAACGTCACATTGATTGATCTTAATAAATCAGTTTAATAAATGTTAAATAGCTTAGTTTCACTAATGATTTTATTATGGAATATGGTGCTACCAAATGACAAATAAGTTCTATCTTATATATTTTTTCTACGAATATCGTATTTTGTCAACTATCTCGATGGAATGTACAAGAAAGTTTTCCACAAATGCTATCCTAAGAAAAAGCAAAAATAAGCGCAGAAGGTAAGATGAAACTAAATCCTATACATCGTTCAATTCTGAAGACTTCTTCTATTAGAGTTATCTGAATCTTTTTGCTCATGTTTTCTAAG